AGAAAGGAATAAATATTTGTTAACTTTCTTTACTTCAACCTTGTCAGATTGAAGCCACCAGATCTTATGAGTTCTGATACTTAGTATTCTTTTGACTACAAAATGCAAACTTGAGACAATGACCAACAAAACCACAGTATCATTTTCGTCAAATTGATCACACTTTTTTAAGAGCAAAAGATTGAATGCCTTCAAAAACACTTTCCCAATAACATAATGTTGCTGTTATATATTTTGTTTTGCTTTCGTGGAATTTCAGGTGCCATGGGTTAAACTTTGGGGCGTTCTCCCATAAATGGTATTGGGCTTCCTGCTTAAGCAGGGGGTTGGACTAGATGACTTACAAGCAGAGGTGGGCTGCATTTTTGTTGGCAAGCGGTTCACTGGTCGTGAGCCTACATGCGCATTTGCTTCATTCACATGCATTGCTTTGGGGCTGAAACGCAGCTTCAAACAAGCAGCTAATTCAGGCAGCTCTGGGGAGTATAGCAGGGCAGCGTGGAACTTGCCTGGGCGGGGGAAAAGTTACTTATTTAGGGAAAGCATAGCACAAGGGCGGATGGGTGGGCCCAGCCAGAGATTACAGCTAGGGGCTCGCTCGAGCCCCATCGACCATCCAGTAGCCCACCACTGGTTACAAGGTCCCTTCCAACTCTGTTATTCTGTTTATTATTATTATTATTATTATTATTATTATTATTATTATTATTATTAATTATTATTATTATTATTATTAATTATTTATTATTATTATTATCCCATCTAACACCAGCCAGTTCTGTTGTTGTAATGTTGTTTCATCATGGATCTTCATAACTTTGCTGTATCTGTTACAGAAAGAATACCAGACAGCTATCCCACTCTTCTATAAAGTTACCCCAAAAGGCATACAATTTAATTATATAATCAGCAAGAACTAGAGCATTGAAATATGGTAACACAGTATTTAAAAAGTAGCTACAATTATTTTAACCAGGATAATTGGTTTAGAAACTGAAACTTGTAGCAATAAAATAGTTTTTGCACATTAAAGTGGAAAAAATAATCTATTTCTGATGAAGAGTTAAAAATTATCGTACCACCACAGAAAAGATCCATCTTTAGTGATTATTTCTGAATTGTTTTTGGATGACACATCCCCAAACAACGATCATACTTTTTAGCCAGGCACTTACAACAATATTTGGCCCTTTCAACAGCTTAGTGTTTGGTCTTTAAAAGTACCCTGTTTCCAAACTGCTTTGGTTTTAAGCTTTCATTGCAAAACAAAGCAATGCTGTTTTTATGGATCACAATTATTGAAAACCACAGTGTCCAGGACAACTTTATACCTGAAATGAGTTATAGGCTTAGTATCTACACTGCTGAAGTCATCAGGTGCCCAATTGGAAGAGAAAACATTCCCAAATAAAAAAGGTAATGAATTGAAAAAAAACAGAAAGAGGGGAGGTTTCCAGAGACCCACTGTGGCTAGAAGTCAGATCAAACTTAAGGCAATTTGGAAATGCTAAAAGAAGTCAAGAATAGCATATAAGAGTTCAAGTAGCAATGAATCAATGCATAGAGATTCAACAATCAGTTTTATGTTCATTTACATAATCCGTACTTACTGTTTTTTTGCCATCAGCTTCACAAGTGAACTGTCTTCTTATTTAAACTGACATAAAGAAATATAGTATGTGAATTCTGTTTGTAATCATTTACAAGTGATAGCTCATTTATACTTGTAAGTAATCACCTGATAAGTTTATCAAGAATGAATCAGCATGTGAACAAATATTTGCCAGGGATGCTCAAGAAACAGATTAGCAAAACTCAGAACATTTAACAATGGAATGCTTAAGAGAACCAAAGGAATAAAAGGATGAGTACTTGGTGAAGAAAGAAATGGAAGTGATGGAAAATAAAAATATGTGCAGAAATATCTAGTTCTGTCTAAATACACGTAGGATCTTAAATATTTGAAAGACTGGTAAGAGCTTGGAAAAACATTACTACTGCTGGTTGGAAGGTAGTGGTTGCTGAGTTTGGAGAATGAATGCAAGGTTAGGTGAGGCAGAAACAAATTCTTGAAAGACACAGAATGGTAAAAAAAAAAAAAATTAGGAGGAAAACAGGGTTATGCATGTGCTGAACCTTCCCACTGAAATCAATGGGATCACAAACCTTAACTTTGTCTGGACTGTGCCTTAGTTATATGTAATCATGATTTCTCAGTTAAGTCAATATTTATTATACCATGAAAACATTTTATGACCAGAGGTATGTAACTATTCCATTTAAAATACATAAATTAAGATTCCATGCTAGAATTTGAGTTATTTCTCCAGGAATTTCTAATAATTGCATAGCTATTTGCTAGTCATTTTTAGTTATAAAATGACATAATATTACACTTCTGTTTACTTCTGTCAAGCATGTACACATTTATTTATTTGGGTTGTTTTTTAAATCTACCCTACTGCTGAAAATTCAGGGTGGATAATATTAAGAAACATTTTATTCATGTATTTAATAAATATTTATTACATATTTATAAGGGTGAAATGAAATTATTGCCATTTTAATGAATATCCAAAGCAAATGTGTTATTTGTCCTTAGTTTCCAAGCACCCTTTAAAGCACTGTGTATGAAGAGTTTAAATAAGACTGCCTTGGACACTTCAGTATTTATAATTTTTAATCATAACTAAAACCTTGCTATGAGTCACCCACCTTTTATCATATAGTCAATTATTATTTGATTTCCAAGATCTTTCATTTTATTATTTGGTACAGATTGAAACAATAATGTGCAGTCCTGCAATCTCTCTATTTTGCAACCGAATGTCACATTTTCAGATACAGCTCTCGGAGTATTTCTTCAAAAATCAGTTTGTTCAACAACTTAAGACTTTGATCAAAGATTGATTGTTAGATTGCCCTTCCTTTCCCCACTACAAGCTCACATATTTTTCCTCTTGTTAGTCAGTCCTCCTGTTTGTGCACTGTCTCCATACCAAGTCAACTTTTGATTATAGGTAGATTTATAATAAAATTAGAAATTTTTCCTGGAAGAGGAGTGCAATATGGATTTAATTTGAGCTCAATTTTTTATTAAATTGTTACCTCAAGAGACTATAACCATCATGGGCATCAGTCAAGACATTCTAGATGCTCCAGATACTCCCCATCAGCCTTCATATTAGCCCTGTTTTTTAAATGTATACTTCCTGGGCAGATGGATATATTTAGAAGCAAAGCATAGGGCTACATTCAGTTTTTAATATGGAAGAATGTATGTGGGGCTATATGGAATCCAGGTGCACTGAATATAAATACAACTTTAGATTCTAATACTTTGATTTGCAAATACGTTTTAAATTTTAAAAAGAAAAATTAGTGTTAGACGTTTATTTTTAGTTTCAAGATACACATGTGTCTTACAGAAACAGACCAACTACAGCCTTGCTGTAATATTTCTACATCATCACTGTCTTTAAGATGCAGGATAAAAGTTAGTTTCCCACAAAAAAAAGTTTCCCACTGTGCTTCTTTTTTCTCCAACTTAAAAAATAATTTATTGCTTCTCCAGCAGAAATGCTAAAAGGCTCAGCTCCACAGCTTCCTTGCCCTGATTCACCATTTATTGACATGCCCTCACAACAGTGTCTCCATCTTGTTACCACTGCCTGGAACAATATGAACCAGTAGAAAAGGATATTTTACACAAGAAAATGGAAAACATTCTATTTAAACATTCTACCTTGCACAGAGGAGGAAGGTCTAGGTAATGTAGTCTTTGGGGTAGGTGGGGGAAGGGTGTGACTTATTTGGCTCCAATTGGTTCTTTCTGTAAGATCATCCATTTCTGGTCTTTGGCCTCTACAGCTGTAGCTTTTGTGAGAACTTGGAAACCTGATTATCCAGACATCTCTTTGTTGACCTAAAGAGAGGATGTTGTCCTGAGTGGACAACCTGAGTATCAGTCTGCCTCATGCTGTTGAGCACAAAGCAGTGGGAAGAGGGTAAAATTAACCAGGTTTCCTCCTTTATGGCAGCTAAAGTTCTCCAGAAAAAATCCAGAGGGAGTTGAATTGGTTCTCATATCTGTAATGTAATGTAATAATGTATCTCATATACATTACTGGCAGTCAAATAAAATAATCTCTCAAAGGTTATTAAATAAGGAAGTAGATTACTAAATCTTAGGGCTCAATTTATCTGTGGGCTTGCTAGGCTGAAATTGTCTTCGTACTGTAATTACTCTTTGATGAACAACAGGCAGCTCCCTTTCTCCCAGATAATAGAAGGTGAAGATGTTTTGAACATCCACTATTTTTTAATCAACCCTTCCCCTTTCCAGAATCAGAATATTAACCTACCTTCCTTTTCCAACAATTATGAAGCCAGGGTGGGGAACATGTGCCACTTGCTGGGGAGATGGTGGAGGACTTAGGGTAGTAACGTTGGATAGGTAAAATATTCTTTCTGCTGAAAATTGCTCCAAAAGATGGAACATGCAGGGAATATGATCAGAAATGTTGGCAGATCTATATGCCTCTCCAGCATGTAGCACAACAAAGTCAAATAAAGAACAGCGGTGGTGTCCCCAGCTCTTTCATACCCTATATCTACTGAAGAACACTTACAGCAAAGATTTGTGGTGCTAGGACAAATCCATACTTTAAGACTGTATTTATAGATGTGAGTCCTAGGCATAAGGTAAAGCCACAAACAGGGACTGAAAATCAGTAACTTCCACTGCCATATCCTTTTTGTTCCTGCAATTCAGCCTAACCTTAATATTATGTTTGCCTAGACTGACATTTATAAAACATAAAGATTTGCTACCATCATGTCGCGTTCTAAGAAGAATATGATGTATGTAGAAAAAGCAACGTCAAATAGAAGAGTTTTGTCTAGGAATTATATATTATTAGTACAACCATTTATATAAAGACAAGAACAATTGTCTTTATCATCAAATTATTTATAAAATTATTGAGAATGTCATTTATATTTATCTGACCTGCTGTTGTTGTTTTAAACTAATATCTAAGATTGTTCACTGAAGTCTTGCATCAAGTTTAGTGCAAACAACTCTACAGTCCAATCGGGGAGATGCATTTATGATCTTTTAGACATAAAAACAAATCATTGATAAATACTTCAGACTGTACAATACTAAGCTCCAGAGCTGTAGGAAAAGAAACTTCTCATCATCTTGCAAAGACAGAACAGATTTCAACCTTATTGAGGGAACTGTTTCTCATTCCATGGGGCAATAATACTATATCTTAATTCAGAGGTAATGTGTGTACCTCTCTTGTCAGGGTAAAAAAGGATGTAAAAATGAGGAGCGCTGGGGAGGAGAGGAGGAATAATACTGCATTTAAAGCTGGTTTTGATCCAGTATAACTTCTCTGCATATTTCAAGTTCCATCCAAAGAAAACTGCCCAGGTGTCAGTCAGCTAAAAGTATAAATAATTCCTCAGAAATTCAACCAGAAAGGTCTTCTTGAGAGAGGACAAACAAGTTATTGAGTATCTAAAGATATTGGGTCTAAATATTTGACAATCCAAGACAGATGGGATGACTTTCCCAGCAAGGGAAGACATACTGACAACTGTTTAACGACCTAAGCACATCAGGTCTTTATGCTGAAAAAAAGGTGATTGGCATTTTTCTTCTCTGATGTCTTTCCCGAAGCGCGTTCAACTATAGCTGTGGGGCAGAGGATAACTGAAAGAAAAAAAAGAAAAGATGGACTTTTACCACTTGTAGAGATCTGCGTCCTTACATGATTTTTCGATGTTTTTTAAAAAAGTGTATTGATAATGAATGAATATCCTATAAACAGTTTTCTTTTTGTTTGTATTGGTTGTGTATAAAATTATATTTCACAATATGTTTTTTTTAAAAAGGCTTCCATGATTTTGTAACATAGCTCACGCAAAAAGCAGAGGTCTTGTATCAGGAAACGTCTATAGTTGTTTTTTTCCCCTTCAAAAGAGGTGACAGATTTATGCTAGAATACATAGCCTTGAGGAGGTTTTGTCAAAGAATGGTCAATTGTATCAAATCAGGAAGATTTTTTTAAAGTTTGAAACAATTAAAGCACTTTTGTGAAATGATTCTCTTCATCTTTATAAACCACTGCTGTGAATGGCAGTGAATATTTCTCAAAGCCTGTTTTACTGCTTTAGCACAGCCAATAGAAACAGAATGATATATTAATGACTAGGCACAATCACCTGCTGCAAAAACAAATAGGGGCGGAATGCTAATAGAAATAAACTCAAAATGGGACAAAGAAACAAAAGAAATGAAATCAGCAGTTCTACAGTAGTTCCTCAAGGAAAAGGAAAGAGAAGAGGTGGAGAGATTAAAAATTATGATTCAGTACGGAATGAGAATGCCCATCAACTATGGTATATTAATAAACAGAAAAGAAAAAAGGAGGAAAAATTGGTCTGCATGAACTAAAGTCATGAATATTTCTCCTGGTTTTCAGGAGTACCTGAGTCTGCAGAAAATCCACCTCTTCTGTAAGCATCTGCCGCTCCTTGTATAACTCATTCTGTTTGTTGAGTAACTCCACAAGCTGCTGGGCAGAAGACTGGCAATGCTTGTCAAGTTGGTGTAATCTGGATCAAAAAAGAACAGAATTATAAATGTAAAGAGTGAGCAAATTTGCAAGAGGTATTCTTTGGATGCCTTTCCCTTCATTATGGAAACTGCCAGGCTAAATTTACTAGCTTGTTAAAGAAAAGTTACCCGATAGCACACGGAATTATAGAATAACAGAGTTGAAAGGGACCTTGGAGGTCTTCTAGTCTAACCCTTTGTTCAAGCAGGAGACCCTATACCATTCCAGACAAGTGACTGTCCAGTCTCTTCTTAAAAGCCACCAGTGATGGGGTACCTACAACTTCTGAAGGCAAGCCATTCCACTGTTGAATTTTTCTCTCTGTTAGGAAATTTCTTCTTAGTTCTAGGTTGCTTCTCCCCTTAATTAGTTTCCATCCATTGCTTCTTGTCTTGCTCCTGTGCTTTTGGAAAATAGGTTGAACCCCACCGCTCTTCTTTGTGGCAGTCCCTCAAATATTGGAACACTGCTATCAGGTTATCCCTAGTCCTTCTTTTTACTAGACTATACATACCCAATTCCTGCAACTGTTCTTCATGCTTTAACCTCCAGCCTCTTAATCATCATTATTGCTCTTTTCTCCACTCTTTTCAGGGTCTCAACATCTTTTTTATAATATGGTGACCAAAACGATGCAGTATTCTATGTGTAATCTTGCTAAGTCTTAATAAAGCAGTACTAATACTTCATATGATACACAATACACATGCATTATATATCACATTCCTACTAGGCTAGGAAATAGTATACAGGTGAAACTCGAAAAATTAGAATATCGTGCAAAAGTTCATTTATTTCAGTAATGCAACTTAAAAGGTGAACCTAATATATGAGATAGACTCATAGTTCAAGCCGTGATTTGTCATAATTGAGATGATTATGGCTTACAGCTCATGAAAACCCAAATCCACAATCTCAGAAAATTAGAATATTACATGCAATCAATAAAACAAGGATTGTACATAGAACAATATCGGGCGTCTGAAAAGTATAAGCATGCAAAAGTACTCAGTACTTGGTTTGGGCCCCTTTTGCAGCAATTGGCATGGAAGCTATCAGCCTGTGACACTGCTGAGGTGTTATGGAAGATCAGGATGCTTCAATAGCGGCCTTCAGCTCTTCTGCATTGTTCAGTCTCATGTCTCTCATCTTTCTCTTGGCAATGCCCCATAGATTCTCTATGGGGTTCAGGTCAGGCGAGTTTGCTGGCCAATGAAGCACAGTAATCCCACGGTCATTGAACCAGGTTTTGGTGCTTTTGGCAGTGTGGGCAGGTGCCAAGTCCTGCTGGAAAATGAAGTCAGCATCCCCATAAAGCTCGTCTGTGGAAGGAAGCATGAAGTGCTCCAAAATCTCCTGGTAGATGGCTGAGTTGACCCTGGACTTAATGAAGCACAGTGGACCAACACCAGCAGATGACATGGCTCCCCAAATCAACACAGACTGTGGAAACTTCACACTGGACTTCAAGCATCTTGCAGTGTGTGCCTCTCCATTCTTCCTCCAGACTCCGGGTCCTTGGTTTCCAAATGAGATGCAAAAGTTGCTCTCATCAGAAAAGAGGACTTTGGACCACTGAGTAACAGACCAGTTCTGTTTTTCTTTAGCCCAGGTAAGACACTTCTGACGTTTGTTGTTGAGGAGCGGCTTGACAAGAGGAACACGACATTTGAAGCCCATGTCCAGGATCCGTCTGTGTGTGGTGGCTCTTGATGCGCTGACTCCAGCCTCAGTCCACTCCTTGTGAAAGTCCCCAACACTTTTGAATGGCCTTTTCCTGACAATCCTCTCCTGGCTGCGGTCATCCCTACTGCTTGTGCACCTTTTTCTTCCACACTTTTCCCTTCCACATAACTTCCTATTAATGTGCTTTGATACAGCACTTTGGGAACATCCAACTTCTTTTGCAATTACCTTTTGAGGCTTTCCCTCCTTATGGAGGGTGTCAATGATGGTTTTCTGCACAACTGTCAGGTCAGCAGTCTTTCCCATGATTGTGATTCCTACTGAACCAGACTGAGAGACCATTTAAAGGCTCAGGAATATTGAACCTTTTCACAATATTCTAATTTTCTGAGATTGTGGATTTGGGGTTTTCATGAGCTGTAAGCCATAATCATCTCAATTATGACAAATCACGGCTTAAACTATCTTGCTTTGCATGTAATGCGTCTATCTCATATATTAGGTTCACCTTTTAAGTTGCATTACTGAAATAAATGAACTTTTGCACGATATTCTAATTTTTCGAGTTTCACCTGTAGCTTTACAATTATTATTGTAAATTATATATGTCCAATTTAAAATATTAATTGTTAAATATAATCTGGACTTAGATCTATTGAGATTCTGATATGTTTATTTAAATGAGGTCCTCCCTCCCAAACTAAACCGTTATGTATATATTGGCACAAGATAAACATAAAACATATATATAATAAAAAAAAACACTCAATGTCTATCTCTTGGCTATATAATGGCTGTGGTGGACCCTGTGCCAAACTACTGATTAAGAAAAGTGAAAGTAGCTTCCAATTAATTGTTGCAATCCAATGTTACTAAAACAATGGTTGGTGCAAACAAATTTCAACACTTATAATTATCAGTTATATGACAACCTGAACCCTCTACAGCAGGGGTGTCAAACTTGTCAGTCCTGGAGGCCATCTTTTTCTTTGGATCTTCAGGGCTGCCACATTTAGTGCTGTGGGAAAATGGGAGGGGGATTGTATGAAGTTGGTGGAGATATATAGCCATCACAACATTCTTTTCTCTGGGAGTCAAGGACGTTCATCCTGCACCTGTGACTGGGGAACATCTCCAGTTGGGACAGTGGATTGATTGGACGATATGGTGGACATGTGGGTGCAGAGGAAGGGAATTTGACTTTCCTTTGGGTGGGAAAAACCCGAGGGCTTTCAGATTCGGGTTTCCCCAGATGCGCCAATATGACATCTCTAATAAAATGGAACTTTGAGGAATGGCTAGCTTTGGAGTCTTACTTGTTTGGGAGTGTTACTTGGAACCCTGGCACGCAAGGCCTGTGGGCCAGATCTGCCCAGTAGGGTGCTTAAATCTGGCCCATGGGGCTGGCCTGGAAATATCAAAGGACTGGCCTGCAGTGCCTCTGGAGGCTAAAACGGAACACGTGTGGCCTCCCCACATCTCGTTTTCATTCTCCATGGCTTCCTGCAGTACTTTGGCAGCTGAAAACTGGACCAAAAACTGGGCTGAAATCGAGCCAAAAAACAGGCCCTAGGGCCCATTTTTCAGCTGGCAGAGTGTTGCAGGAGGCCATGGAGGGTGAAAACAAGGCACAGAGGAGCCGTGTGCAAATCCCCCATGCCCCATTTTGGCTGCCAGAGTACTGCAGGAGACATCCGTCCCACTCACCCCCCACTGCTTCCCCCATCCAGCCCACAAAGAAATCCAGTTTGACACCCCTGCTCTACACATTTTGCCAGAAATAAAATTCCTATTTAAAACAATAGCTACAGAATAGATATTTGAGATGGTCAAAGGGAGATGCATAAAACCAAAACCTGAAGCCATTCAACCTATATTCCTTTAGTCTGTGATGTATACATATATTTGATGAGACGCTGTCATTAATTAATGAAAACTGTATGAATATGTCTTATTGGGCTGAGCCAAGGGAATTTTCATATTGTATATTAAAACATCTTTTTAATATTTTTGAAGGGTAGATTTCATTGATTTATATGGTTTCCCAGAAAACTGTTTGGACAACTATATGTCAGTGAAGTTTGAAACTGGATTCTTGCCTAAGCAATGGGAAAATTTCATGGGTTATGTGTGGTGCCTCCTTACAATTTATGAGTCAAATCCCTAGGTAGTCAAGAAAAAAAAAGCCTTTTTTGAACCAGCAGTACAACAGATGCCACCCATATTCAACTATACACTGGAATTTCTTTTCCAATTTCTGTTCTAATTCTTATTCTAGTTTTTATAGTTGTGAGGCTTTGGTGTTTGTATTTTAATTGATTTAGGCTGAATTTCTTTTGCACATATCTTTATAAACTCTTTTACTCTGCTGTTCAAACATTACAGCATCCTTTGGAACCCTCTTCTCATTTGTATTCTACAACAGTCTTTGTAAATCGATTCTAATCTGTTCACTTACTTCACTCAATAAGGAACGTGTTTTGACTGATTTATCCTTTGCATTCACTTCCTGTCTACCTTCTGTAGCAAATGTTTGACCTGGGTTTTTTTTTTTTTTTTTGTCTGATTGATGAGTTGTTTATTTTGATTTTGGCGCCAGGATGACTCTGGACAGCTTGTTTGCTTTTTCGCCATACAACAGCCATTTACTGCCATAAGTAGCCAGCTCAAACATGACACTTTTGGAGTTAGTGATGGGGCAACTTGTTCTGCCCACCACTCTCCTGGCTCCAAGCAAGGGCCTTTCAAGGGGGAGTTATGGAGCCTGTTTCCCAATTCTCTTCTTCTGAGGGCGGATGAGAAGAATAGTCAGCCCAGCAAACAGCATGGAAGTGCCACTACCCTGATTCTGCTATTTCCCTGGGCTTCTGCTTATGGTCTGAAACTGGGAATACAACTAGCTGCTTCCAGAGCCCAAGTGCTGAGCCGGAGAGGCAGAGGGCAATGACAGCAGCCTTGCTTTCTTTGACCAACTGCAGCAGCATAGGGTCCTTGGAGTGTCTTCTGCCCAAGGCATGCTTTTTATCCTCCATCCCTGCTTGTGAAGACAACTGCTATAAAAATTATCTGCCTTCCGGTTGACATCTGTAAAATTAAGAAACAATTCTTCATTCTAGAGCTTGGAGATTTGGGTAGGAACTTGACCCGCCAGGGGTACCCCAGAGTATGGTGAAAAAAAGTCAAGATGGTGGCCATAAAAGTGTGATCAAAATGTGCCGTTTTCTTTTAAATGGGCAGAGTTTCAACCGTACCATAACAGCCACCATCTTGCCCCCCACCCCTTTTTTTTAGCATGCCCTGCAAACACTCTTG